TACTGATTTTAATTTGAAATAATCAAAAACTCATCTCTTAAGCATTTGTTCTACCTTCAAGAATTTCATCAGAATAGCATGGTCCACTGTATCACTGGCTGCTGATAAGTCTAGTAGGAGTAGCATAGAGGCATCCCCTTTGTCTTCATTTATTTATTTATCGCATTTATACCCCGCCCTCCCTGCATCCACTAGGATCTCCATTCCATAGCCTAGCCTGAAACCAAAGGGGTCTAGGGCTGATGACTTATCCAGGAAGACCTGGGATTACTCTGCCATTTTTTTCTTAATTGTTTTGCCCAGGGAGGACAACATAGATACTGGGCAATAAGTGGCCACATTATTCTTTTCTAGTTGAGGGTGTTTCTAGTGCAGAAAGGAAGATGATTTATCATGAGATAGATCTTGAATGGAAATTAGGGACATGGTACTACCTGTGAGCCTAATTGTGTTTCCAGACAGCACACCTCATAATCTACTGGTCCCACCTGTTTTACTATCCCATAGCGTCCCTGCCACTGGGCATGGCACTTGGAGTGGGTGGTTGACCATAACGACACCACCCTGCCTTCAGCTCCCTTGTTTTGACTTCCCAGTCATATGACTTTTTCTAACTCCTATTTGTCAAAGAGGTAGAAAAGACTTTGGGGGATAGGAGCACAAACATGGTCCCGGCAGGCTCATTAGGACATGAAGATTAGTTTCTTTCTTAAACAGGTGAGCTATATTACAAAACAGGTGAGCTATATTATGAAAGGCAGCTATCAAGTCTAATCAAATCAACATCCTCCATTTTAAAGATGCACCTTCTGAATAAAGAAACAAGCTAGCATTCTTCCACCTTTAATCTGCTCTTATTCCAGCTGAGCATCATTTCCTGTACTATTCTTTATGTCAGAATTTCTCAGTATTTACCATGTCTCTTTTATAAATGGGGTCTTTTTGATGAAAGTCTGAAAAACAATGACTGCAGGTTGGATTCTATTAGTTTTTCTGGTGGTGAAAGAGGATAGGGCCCCATTTTTGCCACAAATAATGCTGCACCAGGAATTGTGGGACCCACACAGACAAAAGTCACATGGAGTGGGGGCTGTCATGAGGAAGGGAAGCAAGTGAGACCAAGTGGAAAAGCTGGTAGGATCCAATTCAATGAGTTGCACAATCTATCTCCGAAACTCTAGTATATGGATTCAAGACTTCTTCATTTCAATGAGTTGCAAATATTGCCTTTGCATAACAAGCAGAGCAACAGCTTTATAAACTAGACCATTTGGAGTAGAGGATGGTCCTCGGAATGTAGAGGGAACACATCCTGTCATTGAGGAATCCATTTCACACAGGAATATGTGCTGAATCAGAAATGGTATACACACGCTGCTTCAGGTGCCATATCTGACTGGGCCAGGTCCTAATGAAAAATGAAAGTCTAGACTAGACTAGACGAGATCTGACACATCCTATCACTGCATACAGGTTATATGTAAGGTTCAGAAGTTGTGCCTCGCATACTCCTAAATTCAGCACAGAGTGTTTCTTATTATTCTGCACGCACATACATGTGAAAGAATGCAAATATTTTCAGTTTACTCCAGAGATCTCAGACCTCTGTGGATGCAGAATGATTAATAATGGAAGGAGAGGGGGCAGTCATTGCAGTGATGAAAATCTTGGAAGAGGTGCTTGGTAATCTTGGTAATCACACTGAGCCATGGGTGACCTGGAGCCCAGACATTCTGCCAACAGCCTGCTGAATTGATTGCCCTGCCACGGGCTCCTCCACAGTCCCTCAGGCCACTGCGGCATGACTGGCGTGACTCGCGCTGGACCCTCAGTGCACCTCGGAGGGCAAGGCTCTCTGGGAGGGAAGTCTCAACCGATGCCAGCTGAGACGGGGCTCATGCAAACAGTCGGGAGTCCTTGGAGGGTCCTCCCCCCTCCCTTCTCGGGTAAAGATGACGGGGGAAGGGGCCGAGACGGGCTCCTCTCCGCAGCCACCAAGGCCAGGGGGGCGTGCCCAGTCTCGAGTGCGAAGCGCTGGAAGAGGCAGGGCTTACCCAGGGGAGAGTGTTTGAGGGCGTTGCAGATGGCAATGTCAGACTCCTTAAGCGTGCCGGAAGTGGCCAGTCCTCAATGCTCCCTGACTCAGGGCAGACTACAGGGGGAATCACTAGAGGGCCGGACTAGGAAGGGAACCCACAATAGGGACGGTAGAGGAAGTGATGGACAGGTGAAGGACACAATACGGTGGCTGGGAAAGGAAAGGGGAGGGCTTACAAAGTGACGTGAGGAGTATAAAAAGGAGGGAAGCCAGGAGAGCCGGGGAGGATTTCAGAGGCAACTAGCTCGGCCAGTGAGATAGAGAGAGAGAGGCGCGGCTGTTGACCCAAGGAGGGGGGGGGAGTGACTGAACTCCCCTACCCTTCCATATCTGAGGCTCTCGCTTCCCTCCAATACCCTCTGCTACCACGGCGAGTGCCCCTCCAAAGCTAGGGGACACCCCCGAACGCGACACTGATGTCACCAAGTTGCTATGAATATCACATTGTTTTCTACATTGTTGTCATTTGTATGATAGCTTAGCAATGCCAGTAGCATCCTAGTTCAGCTATTGCAGACTAACAAATGGCAAAAAGGGTTGGAACACTTTCCCTATGAAGAAAGGTTAAAGCACTTGGGGCTCTTTAGCTTGGAGAAACGACGACTTAAGGGTGACATGATCGAGGTTTCTAAGATTATGCATGGGATAGAGCAGGTAGAGAAAGAGGTACTTTTCTCCCTTTCTCACAATACAAGAACTCGTGGGCACTCCATGAAATTGCTGAGCAGTCAGGTTAGAACAGATAAAAGGAAGTACTTCTTCACCCAAAGAGTGATTAACACATGGAATTAACTGCCACAGGAGGTGGCGGTGGCTACAAGCATGGACGGCTTCAAGAGGGAATTAGATAAATATAAGGAGTAGAGATCCATCAGTGGCTATTAGCCACAAAGTATAGATAGGGACTCTGGGGCAAGTGATGCTCTGTATTCTTGGTGCTGGGGGGGGCAACAATGGGAGAGCTTCTAGTGTCCTGGACCCACTGATGGACTTCCTGATGGCACCTGGTATTTTTGGCCACTGTGTGACAGAGTGTTGGACTGGATGGGCCACTGGCCTGATCTAACATTGGCTTCTCTTATGTATTCCCTTGAAAGTTATGGTCTGGCTTACTTTGCTGTCATCTGGCTCTGCACACTTTCTTTGTCCTTCTAGTTTTGGGGAGGGAATTATTTTAAATTAAGGTACTACCCTGCTCTGACTTCCATCATACAGACTATGGAGCCAAGTGAAGGCATTTTATATCTTAAACCACAATTGTACTGGGCTGTTCAGAGTGGTGTTGTGTTATGTAATATAAATCCAAAAGGTTAGAACAGATTATTTTATTTATTATTTATTTATTCAGTTTAATTAATTCAATTGAAGACTTTCAGTGCTCAGTTTAAGGCTTTCAGTGCTCTATTATGCAGACATCGATCAAGTCTTCAACCATGTTAACTCCCAGTGCACTCCCAGATGCATGTTGGATCAACTAATATACACTATATTGACTGATGGCCTAATTCGGTATAAAGTAGCTTCATTTGATCATGTATCCTTTGTATTGTTCCAAAACACACCTTCTTAACCTTAGGCTCCTTGACTTGTATTGATTTCTAAATTTTTAAACAATGCATCAAGAATTTCTACTTATATTGTCTTTTTTTGGACTGGATCCTAGCACCTTTTCTGTCGTTGAAATGGGAGGAGGAGGTCTTCCATCAGACAGGGCTATTCTGGGGATTATCGGAATTTCATGAACAAAAGTCATGTAGGATAAGGGCTGAAGTAAGGAGGAGAACTGGGCAAGACTGAGCAGAATAGCTAGATGGATTCAACCCTTTTTTCTGATCTTGGTCCCATTTCAAGTGGTCAATGATTTATTAAAGGTTCACAATCTGTGTAAATACTTTCGGGGGGTGGGGGAGAAAGCATAGGTTACACTTTAGCATAACATTTGAAAAAAAATCAAGATATTTAGTGAGAAGACTATGTATACTCATTTGGTAATCTTAGGTCCCGTTCACACTGGCCGATTTGAGCCGGGAGCGGGACAGTTCGGGGCCGGATCAAACCGGTGCGATCACACCACAACATCTGGGAAGCATCTTGCTTCCGTGGCCGAACTGTCCCTTCCCCGCAGAAATCCGCCGCAAACTGAACCACCTTCCTTAGGTGGTTCAAATGGACGCGGCACAGCAACGGGGCGTTTGATCGCCGGCGCATCTTTGCGCCGGCACAACCCCGGCCTGGATCCGAACTGCGCATGCTCCGACATGCGCAGTTCGGCCGGCTAGGCGTCTGACGTGTGTTTTCTCCCCGGCGTTTGATCCGTGGGATCCCGCCGCGGCGCCTCAATGTTGGCGCGGCTTTTAAAAGCCGTGCCTTAAGACGCTTTTCCCCTGCCGTGTGGCAGGGGCCTTACATAACTTTGACCAGAATTCAATGAAAATTTGAATGTGTTGTAGATGGGAGCATAATCCACTACAGAATGAAGCTTGATCAAACCACTTTAATTCAATGATTTGGGTCAACCAACTTTTCTGCTGGAAGGAGGAGTCTGTTTGACTACCAAAAAAAGGCTGTGCTGCAGATTATGGGGGGAAAGCAATGCAAGTTGTAGCCTGCAGTAAGAAAGGGAATTAAGTGAGACTGAGTAAAAACATTGGCTGGATCCAAACCCATGAGCTTATACACGACCAGCAGATTTTAGAAAATGTCTACAGATGGACCAGTGGACCTAGATGTTAATATCAAAACTGATTGCATATTTTTGATTTTCCCACTAGGTCCAACCATGCAAAAACTAGAGCTAAGAAATGAAACTGTCTTCACAGAATTCATTCTTCTTGGATTTGGAGAACTTCAGGAGATGCATATCCTTCTCTTTGTGGTGTTTTTAGTGAATTATCTAATGACTATGACTGGGAATCTTCTCATTCTTGACCTAGTCGTAGCTGATGAAAACCTTCACACTCCCATGTACTTCTTCCTGAGCAACCTGTCCTGTTTGGAAACTTGTTACTCCTCAACCATCCTCCCCAGAATGCTGGCCAGTTTCTTAACTGAGAACCAAAGTGTTCCTGTTGTTGGTTGCATGGTGCAGTTTGGGGCTTTTGGTTTCTTGGCAGCAACAGAATGCTACCTCCTGGCTGCTATGTCTTATGATCGCTATGTAGCCATTTGTAGACCCCTGCATTATTCTGCTCTAATGAACGTCAACATTTGTCTGCAGCTTGTGGCTGGGTCTAGGATTAGCAGTTTTGGGGTGAATACCATCCTGTTGATGTTCATACTGCAGTTAACGTTCTGTGGTAACAATGTGATTGAGCATTTCTTTTCTGATTTCACTCCCATGATGAAACTGACCTGCAGTGACTCATATCAGGTAGAACTTTATCAGCTACCCTGTCTGCCCTCTGTACCTTGCCCCCATTTGTTTTAACTATAACATCATATGTATATATCATTTCTGCCATTCTGGGAATCCCATCTACCACAGGCAGGCAAAAGGCATTCTCTACTTGCTCTTCTCACCTCACTGTGGTGACCATTTTCTATGGTACCCTCATCATTGTGTATTTGTTGCCAGATACCAAGGAACTCAGACAGCTGAACAAAATCATCTCTGTTTTTTACACTATCCTGACACCTCTGATCAACCCCCTCATATGTAGCCTGAGAAACAAAGAGGTAAAGGAGGCCTTGAAGAGAACTACTAGAAAATGTACACATTACATAAGACTGAGAGTTCATTGATTTATGCTGGTCTTAGACCATATTAATACATTTGAATCTGAATCTGACCATAAGATTAAGAAAGATCCTTACACTGAATCTGGAAGATTAAAGTAACAGTCATATTTTTGAAGATAAGGTATATAAATAGTTAAAAAAATAAAAAATAGCATTTAATATGAATTAAAAATATTTGCAAATTGCGAAAAATATTTGTATTTAATCTGTCTTGATTTTCTTTATTTCATATTTTATTACATTTGTATCTTACATTATTTCTCATCACAGGTTCAGTACCAAGGATCCAAAACCTCTCATTCATTTCACACCTGTACACTATTTAAGGGTACTTTTGCAGCTGGAAATAAATCCTGACAATGATGTTTTTAGCTTGATTGCGGGAATCAAAACACCATACATTCTTTTCACACTTCTTCCAATAACACTGAATGGAAAAGGATCACGTGGGAGGAATTGGAAATATGCCAATTGTTCAGAGTTCATGGGCCTGACCTCGATGGCCCAGGCTTGCTTGATCTCATCAGATCTCAGAAGTTAAGGTGGGCTGGCCTTGGTTAATACAGAGATAGGAGACCATCAAGGAAGTCCAGGATTGCTTCACAGAGGCAAGCAATGTCAAAACCTCTGTTCCTTTCTTGCCTTGAAAACACTATGGAGTCACCATAAATCAGCTGTATTTGTTGGGGGTCATGGACCCTTCCTCCTTGTTTCACCAGCAGAAGAGTTGATTGGTTCCCATATATGGAATGAATCTTTAAATACTGTACTACTTAAAAAACAACAACAACAACAACAAACACTAGAAAACTGATGTAATTCTACATTCCAAGCAGAGTACCACTTGTGTACAATAAAACAGAGGTATGCATGCTTTTTCAAAGGCTGCAGTTTATCAGGGAGGTGAAGGTAATTATAGAGTCATTGTTCTTGAGGGCTATACACTCCTGTATTTTGTTCCATCATTGTTTCTGGTCAAACTGGTGCCACAGGGCTTTTTTTTTTTTTAACCCCAAACATGAGCAGTGATGAAAGTGAGATTAATATTCACATCATGATGCTTATAACTCAAGCATACTTTCAGTTCTCTGGGGGAAAAGATCACCTGATTCCTTCCAAAAACATATTCTGGATAATGGATTATAATCAGCATTAACAGTCAGGAATATTGTTTATTTGCATAAGGAGGGCTCTTCCCTGCTCACTCTTCTTCTCTCTGTAGTTTGTTGCACTCCGGATATTTAACAGTGGTTCAGAGTACTGAATGGGCAGTTTTACTTCCTGCCAAGAGAAGTTCAGCAGTACCAGATGAAGCAGCAGCACCTGTAGTCAACATCTGATTTATAACGAACTAGGAATAAGGCCTGTTGTGGAAATAAATACAACGAGCTCTAGAAAGAGGCTCTGGGAGAGTGCCCCGGCCTTGGGCACTCAGCATCAATTTGCTGTGGTGACCTCAGCAGGGTAAAATGACACAGAGTCCACCATTTTCTCCAGGGGAACTGATCTTTGCCATCTGATGAGCAGTTGTAATTCTGAGTGATCTCCAGCCCCCATCTGCAGATTGACAACAATGGTCCCCCATGAAGGAATGGCTGGCTTGGAGGGTGGAGTTGATGGCATTGTACCTGTCTGAGGTCCAACCCCTCCTCAAACCTCACTGTCTCCAGGCTGCACCCCTCAAATCTCCAGGAATTTCCCAACCTTGGGATGGCAACCCTATCAGGACCCTATCGCTCCCAGCCAACCATCAACCTACTGTTATCTGCCCCCTGGCTTCAGCTTTCCATCTACTCCCCCTCCCTCCTAGAGAGCAGTTGTAATTCTGAGTGATCTCCAGCCCCCACCTGGAGATTGGCAACAATGGTTCCCCATGAAGGAATGGCTGGCTTGGAGGGTGGAGTCAATGACATTGTACCTATCTGAGGTCCCACCCCTCTTCAAACCTCACCCTCTCCAGGCTCCATCCTTCAAATCTCCAGGAATTTCCCACCTGGAGTTGGCAACCCTATCAGGACTCGCCCCAATTAGTTTTCTCCCAGAGGCCAAAATAGGTGTGGAAAGGGCCTTTTACTGACAGAACCTGGTTGCCTAGCAATAGGCACTGAGGAGAAAGGACAGTTGCCAGCTCTGATTAGGGAAATACCCAGAGATTTGGGGGGTGGATCCTGTGGAGGGCAGCACTGGGGGGGATGGAAGGACTCAGCAGGGAATAATGCCATAGGGTCTACCCTCCAAAGCAACCATTTTCTCCAGGGGAACTGATCTCTGTCATCGGGAGATCAATTGTAACAGCGGGAGATCTCCAGGTCCCACCTGGAGATTGACAACCCTAGCGGAAAGTCAGCCACACAGCAGGGGGTTGAAGAGAATGGTTTCTTGGTCACTGGCCCACCTCATTAGCCAGCCAGCCATGGTGGAGCCAAAAAGGAGAGAGAGCCGTATTAAGTTTATTCTGACAGGAAAGTGGGTGGGGGAGGGGGTTATGCTGAAAGTCCTTTTTTTTTTTTACTACAGAAGCAAGCTTGGTTGCCTACCAACAGCCACTGAGGGGACAGTTAGTCACAGTTAGTCCCACACAGGAGCCAAGAGAAGTGCCTTCCTCAGGAGAGAGTCCAGCTTTCCAGGAGCCGCAGCTCGTTTCCCCTAGGCCAGAACCTCCTTGGCGCTGCCATCACTGCTGAAGCAAGGCGAGGGAGCCTTTGAAAGGCGCCGGGCAGCCTTTTCTGTGGAACATCCTGCTGAGCTATTGCCCTGACAAAGCGCCGGCCTTGCGGCTGAGGGAGAGGGGCTGCAAGGGGTAGTGAAGGTGAGTGCTTCCCCTGCTTGCTGCCGCTCGCTAGGTCTGCCTCTTTCTCCCCTGTGGAGGGGTTGCTGCTCCCTCAGTGGAGCGTCCATCCCCTTTGCCGGCTCCCTCCAGACTGAGAGCAATACACTGGCTGCCGGCTCTGTGGACGGGGCCGAGCCAATGCAGTGAGGCAATGCAACCAGGGGATTGGGAGTCCGTGAGATGGGCAGCTAAGCAGGCAAAAGACTGTGGGAGCATGTGGAACATTGAGGAAAGTGGGACACGAAAAGTCTTTTATATATAAAGAGAGATGTTATACCCCTCCATTCTGTCCAATGGGGAAACAAAGTGGCTTACATTGTTCTCCTTTACTCAATTTTATATTCACAACAATCATCTGAGATAGGTCTAGCTGAGGGGGTCTGACTTGCCTAAAGCCATCCATTAGCCTTCCATGGCAGAGTGGAGGTTCAAACTGGATCTCCTTGATTCTAGTCTGGCATTCTAACCACTACTCCACATAAACTCTGATAGGCAGGGGTCTTTTTGTAGAAAAAGAAGAAGAAGAAGAAGAAGAAGAAGAAGAAGAAGAGGAGGAGGAGGAGGAGGAGGAGGAGGAGGAGGATTGTGCCTGCGCCGGGAAGCGAGGGACCGGGCGAGCGCGTGGTGCAGGGTGGAGGCGGCGGGGCGCGTGGCTGTTCCCTGCAAACAGCCGAGGCCCGGAGTCCGACGGGGCCAGCAGCGGAGTCTCGTTGATGGGGTGAGCAGCAGAGGAGAGCGGGCAGCAACGAGGAGGAAGCGCTTTATTGCTGGGGTGGCGCTCCTCGGGAGCAAACCCCGCTGCGCTACCTGAGAAAGGGGCCGTGGGAGCGCCGGGCGGCTGCGCTGTGTTCCCTGGAGGAGAGCCGCCTTTGCACGCCCCAACGGCTCCAGCTCGCTCTCCTGGCCCCTCACTTGGGCAGGCGCGCGCAAGAAGGGGCGTCCGGATCAGGGGGGAAGGACTGGGGAGTGGCTCTTCCCTCCCTCCCTTCCTCCGTGGCCAGTTGGGACGGCTCCTGCTGCCTTCGCAGAACGAAGCAGCAACAGGGGGGTCATTCTGTCTGCGCAGAGCTCCTTTGCGCGCCCCGACGGCTCCAGCTCGCTCTCCTGGCCCCTCTCTCGGGCAGGAGCGCGCAGGAAGGGGCGTCTGGATCGGGGGGAGGGCTGGGGAGTGGCTCTTCCCTCCCTCCCTCCCCCCGTGGCCAGTTGGGACGGCTCCTGCTGCCTTCACAGAACGAAGCAGCGATGGGGGGGAGGCTCGTTCTGTCCGCGCGGAGCTCCGCGCGGGCAGAACAAAGCTGAGACGGGGGTGGGGCTGAAAAAGGCGGCGAGGTTGGGGGCTGATCTCAGCTGATCTTTTTCCAGGCCCAGCGCGGGGCCTGAAAAAGGAGGGGGGTGCCTCAGCAGGCGACGGGAGGGCTCCGCAGGGACCTTACCTCCCTGCCGCTTGCTCCTTGGTCCGACTGATGGCTGCTGGGAGCAGGGGGCGGGGCTTATGTCCCTGCCCCCTGGGCTTCTGACTGGCAGAGCGCAGTCCCGGCAAGCTCTGGCAGGAACCGACCCCTGCTTATAGGCCAGGGAAGCTGTTAAAACCCCTTTGTTTTGTGAGAGAGGAGATTTTTTCCATCCTCCTTCTCTGCACTTACTGGAACTTCTCTGCTTCCATTGCAAATTCCAGAGATTTGTTGGGGAGGTAATCTATGCCTAGATCAAGTCCCACCATCATCTGCAAACTGGTTGTCAGTTCTGTAGTTTCAGATGAATTACAACTGCTACAGATAACCATAGTTTTTAAAACAAAATATGCAAAGGGGGTATTTCTGGGGATTGCGTGGACCAGGACATTCCAATTCATTTCAAGTATGTCAGTGAAACTCCCATAATAATCTAAAAACCAGTGGCCAATTATGAGGCTTTTGGGATTATTTTGGAATGAAGTATGCCTGCCACAGACAACCATAGCTTCCAGTGTAAAGAGTATATATGAGTGTAGGTGGTGTCTGGGCAGAACTGGGCCAGGATGTTACAGTCCCCTTCATTTTGAACACAAAAACTCCCATGGTCATTCTGAGGCTCCTAGCTGTAGTTTCTGATGAGTCATGCCTGCCCCAGACAACATTAGATACAAAGTGGGGGTAGAGGTTTCTGAGGATTACACAAACCAGAATTTTCCATTTCCTATCATATTTGGTACTACTGCACCCATCATTATCCTAAAGCTGGTGGCCAATTTTGAGTCCCCCAGTTCTCTTTTTTGGAGGAGTTATGCCTGTCACAGACAGACTGATGGATCTTTTTATGATTGCAGATGGTTTAAGAACAGAAGAAGAGTCCTACTGGATCAGACCAATGATCCATCCAGTTAAGCATCCTGTCTCACAAACTGACTGGAGGATGAAGAACAGGGCATAGAGGGCCTTCCCCTGGCATTGAATCTTGGCACTACATTTCAGAGGTTTACTGTCTCTGAATATGGAGGTTTTCTTTAGACACCAGGTCTAGTAGCCACTAATAAACCTATCCTCCATTAATCTGTCTATTCCTTTTTTAAATATGTCTATTCATGTGGCCTTCATACCATGTATTTTAGGATAATATATTCCATTGGCAGCCAGAGAGTGATCTGGGACTTTTCCATTTTCTTTCCAAAATATCCCTAGCCACCTTTCATAAGTGGCATACCAATTGTTCTTAATGAGCTATCTTAGGGGCACCTATTCCTTCAAGGAAGGAATTAGAGATCTGAAGCATGAATGTTATCCCAAGAGACTCCTTAGGATGTAAATATTTATTTCCTTTTTAAGCAGTGCTGCTAGAGTATGAATTAGAAGCAGTGAGAATGGCAGCAATCAGATCTTAGGCAACACTGAAAATCTTGGAGTTATTTCATTCAAAATGATACAAAAACTACATGTCCCAAACTATAAAGATCTGCCCTCTTAATATAAAAGACACAAGGTGAGCACAGCTAAACTCCATTTCCTATACTTTCACTGTGTTGGTATTTATCCATACAGCATATTCAATATTCCACTTTCATGAGAGATATTGTTGATATATGAAGTCCAAGACAATAAGATGTACAGTCCACTTTCTGTTTAAGGTTTTGGATTCATGTTTGTTTAATTCTACTGGATTTTATATTTCTCTAAGAACAAATATTACCTATTCTGTCATAAGAAGAAGAAGAAGAAGAGAAGAGATTGGATTTATACCCCACCATTCACTACCCAAAGGAGTCTCAGAGTGGCTTACAAACTCCTTTCCCTTCCCCTCCCCACAACAGACACCCTGTGAGGTAGGTGGGGCTGAGAGAGCTCTGACAGAAACTACTCTTTTTCAAGAACAGCTGTGCCAGAATGATGGCTTGCCCAAGGTCATCCAGCAGGTGCAAGTGGAGGAGTGGGGAATCAAACCGGGTTCTCCCAGATTAGACTCTGCACATTTAACCACTACACACAGAATCTGGAAGTTGGCCTTCAGAATGCAGATTGCATCTCCATAGCTGAAGAAGAGCTGTCCCATATTTCCCATCAAAGGACAGATTGGAGCAAAGCACCATTTTTCATTTAAATGTGTTGACCATTAAATTTCCTAGTCCAGGTGTATATTGTTTTCAGAGAAACAACAAGAAGTCAGAATCTGACAATGTAAGGATGGATCCTATGTGCTTTTCAGTTGCGGAGGTAGATTTTTCCTTGTCTTCTTCCCATACAAGTCCCTTCCATGTTAAAAAACAAAAACAAAAAAACCCCTTTTCCTGAAGAGTCAGTTGAACTATATAAAAGGTTTATCCATTTGCAATAAACTTTATTATGTAATTAAAATTATGGCCTGATCCTAGATATGTTTACTCAGAAGTAAGTCCCACTGTGTTCACTGGAGGCTACTCCCAGGTAATTTTTTGTGAGTTTTGGCTTCCTTAAACTTTAATATTATTTTAAGCAATCAAACTTATTGGAAAAGAAATGTAAATTCAGATTTCCCCAAATCAAGCAATATTGTCTTTCAGTTCTTCAACACAGTGCCTCTAAATTCATGCTTTTACCTCAAAATTTTGACAGGAATGTTGGATTCTTTGACCTAAGAAAGCAACACCCATGAGGAAATTAGAAAATCAAACCACCACAACGGAATTTCTCTTTCTTGGGTTTGGAGATCTCCAGGAGTTCCACATTTCCCTTTTTCTTATCTTCCTAATCGTCTACATTTTCACCAAGGCAGGGAACATCCTCATAACTGTTCTCATTCTGACTGACCAGCATCTTCATACTCCCATGTACTTCTTTCTGGGGAATTTGTCTTGTTTGGAGACCTTTTATACCTCAGCCATTTTGCCCCGAGTGCTGGCTAGTTTCTTGACTAGGAACAAGACAGTCCCTCTTCCTGGATGCCTTTTGCAACTGTGGCTCGCTGCATCCTTAGCTGCAACAGAATGCCACTTCCTCTCAGCCATGTCCTTCGATCGTTACATTGCAATATGTAAACCCCTGCATTACTCCATCATTATGAATAATAAACTTTGCCTCCTGCTGGTGGCTGCCTCTTGGGTTTGTGGTTTTGTGGAAAATACAATCTTAATTATTTTTGTTTCCAAGCTTATTTTCTGTGGCCGCAATGAAATCGATCATTTCTTTTGTGATTTCATCCCTATAATTCAACTGTCCTGCACTGATACCCATAAAGTACAGCTTGTATTAACTATCCTGGCATCTGTTTGCACATTTCCCACATTCGTATTGACCATCACCTCTCATGTTTATATCATTAGCACCATCTTGCGAATTCCTTCAACCAGTGGACGGAAAAAAGCCTTCTCCACCTGTTCCTCTCACCTTGTGGTTGTCTCAGTATTCTACGGGACGATCATTATTGTCTATGTGTTACCCAAAACAGAAATGTTAAAAGAACTGAATAAAGTATTCTCTGTTTTCTACACAGTCCTGACACCCCTAGTTAACCCTCTTATATACAGCCTGAGGAACACAGAGGTGAAGGAAGCCTGGAGAAGGGTTGTCAGCAAACATAATATTAACCTACAATGAAACAGTGATAGTTACTGTAGAGCAGTGGTTAGAGTGTCAGACTTCGTTGCTATTTTCTTTGTTGTGATAACAAGTATGACGAT